AGGACCCTGCAAGGAGTTCCAGGCAATTTATGTGCAGTGTGGACTCCGCCACCGACCAGCGTCCGCCTGTGGAAATATCTCCCCAGCGCGCACCCCAACCATAAGAGCTCGCGTCCGACTCTATGACCACATCTGGGGCCGAGCCGAAGATGGCTTTGCCATTCCACGCCTCCATGTGTATGAGCCACCAGCGGAGTTCTTCTTTCGCTTCTGCGTTTAGAGTCAGAGTATCTTCGTATGAGGCACCGCCTCTCAGATATGACGCCTGTAGGCGTTGAAGTGCTCTGTAATGAAGGGGGCCCGGGAAAATGGCCTGTATGGAGGCTGCTAAGAGCCCGATCACGCGGGCCAGATGTTTGAGAGATATATGTGGACAGGTAAGAACTCGTCTTATCTCTTTTTTGATATTTTTCATTTTGGATGTTGGTAAATACAAGGTTTGCATAACTGAGTCCACCAAGAGACCTAGGAATTCTATTTGTTGAGTGGGGGCTAGGATGGACTTTTCCCAATTTATGATGAATCCCAAATTCTGCAGCAAGGTTGTGGTCCAACCGAGGTGAACCTGTAGCAGTGAGACTGACTGGGATAGCAGCAGGATGTCATCTAAATATATGATTAGGCGTATTCCCCGACTGCGTAGGAGAGCAACCACGGGCTTCATTAGCTTGGTGAAACACCAAGGTGCGGAAGACAGACCGAAGGGAAGGCAGCGGAACCGCCATTTCCTTCCTTGCCACGTGAATTGCAGGAAGTCCTGGTGCCCCTGTGCAGTGGGTACCGTGAGGTACGCGTCTTTGAGATCGAGTTTGACCATCCAGTCGGCTGGTTGGAGCAAATCTCGTAGGCAATGAATGCCCTCCATCTTGAAGTGATGGTAAGTTACGTAAGTATTTAAGTGTTTGAGATTGATAACTGGGCGGGATCCGCCCCCCTTTTTTGGGACAATAAATAGGTTGCTCACAAAACCCGGGGTATGCATCGGGATTTCTTGAATAGCACCTTTGAGCGCCAAGTCTCGGACCTCCCCTAGAGGGGAAAAAGCAATCTCCCTGGGTGGGGAGTGCTGGATGGGAAGGGATATAAAGTCTATTAGGTACCCGTGGACAGCCCTTAGTATCCAGGTATCTGAGGTAATGAGAGCCCAGACATGGGAAAAAAGTGTGAGTCTGCCCCCAATCGTCACATGTGAAGAAAATTGAGAAAGGTAGCTTACCGTAAGGACGTCTTCCGGAAGGAGCGCCTCGTGTACCTCTCGACACCCATGGTCTGCCTCGTTGGGGAAAAAAGGTCGGGGCGGACAATAAAGGGGGTTCTCCCCGCATAGGAGCCTCGGCTCGGGCGTGAGCCTCTGTTGACTCTGCCGGACAGACGGTCCCTTGCTCTGCCGGCCCCACCAAAAACCTTTGGGTGGAACACCCTTTTTAGATTTGATTGTGCCCTATCTAAGGCCGTAAATGTTTGTACATAAGATCCCAGGTCTTTTACAAAAGATTCTCCAAAAAGGTACCCTTTTGCTAGGGCTCCAGGCTCAGTAATTGCCATATTTACGAGCTTTGGTTCTATTTTAATTAGAATAGCTTTACGACGCTCTGTAGCCAGAGCGGTATTGGCGTTGCCTATGAGGCATATCACCCTCTGAATCCAACCTCTAATAGTGAGGCGATCTAAAGCGTCATCTTGTGCCAAGGATTCCTCCACGGCTTTGAATATTTTGGTCGCTGGACCTAAGATATCCAAGACTTTGTCTTGACAATTATAAAGCGAAAAGTCTAGACCTTTCCTAGGTTTACAACCCGTCTTGCTTAAAAATTGTATGATCTTGGGATCGACTTGGGGTGTCTTACAGACTTCGTCTGGTACGGTGGGGCGTGGGCATTCAGCCCTCAGTTTACTACGTGTTGCCTTGTCCAGAGGCTTACGGACCCGTGAGGCGACATATTGCGCCACATGCTCAGCTGGTGACCATTCCGCAGAGCGGGGGTGACGCAAGTCATCCGGCTCAAACAGTGGTTCGCCCTGCGGGTCAAGGACTTTTCCCTGTTTAATAAAATCTGAGCTTGCGGTATTTATCTTAGTAGAGGGATTACACACCTCATCCATGTCATATTCCGAATCTAGGTCGGACAAATCGTGAGACTGATCTGAGTCTAGGGCTGGGGCACTCTCCTCATCTGAACTGAGTTCTGACTCAGTGGAATCAGGTTGGGCTTTAGCCCACTTCCAATGTCTAGCCGCTTTTGCCCGGCTAGAGGCTCTTTTGCACGGTGGGTTAGTATTCGCGCCATCTATGACAGGTGTTTTACTGTCCATTGTCAATTTGGAGGAGTGCTTGGTTTTTGCCGAGGCTTTGCGGCCGGGGCGAGATGGGTTGGGAATGGATGGTATCGCGACTGGCATAGCGGTCGGAGGGACCATACGTTGGGCCTGCCTTAGTGCTTGGGTAAAAGATTTTGAAATAGATGAAGACATAATGTCCATGGCAGATGCCAGGGCTTTAGAGACAGATTTGGACACAGTAGTATCCATGATAGCCTGAATATCCTCTGATGCTGGGAAATCCAGGTCATCCCCAGAAACTATAGGGGGAAAACCCAATGCAGTTTGGGGGTCAGTTGTTATCCCTGAGGGACCAGGCAAGTCATTAGCAGATTGCATTAGTGCAGTGTAACTGACAGGCAGGAGTTAAACAATGAAATAACTGGCAAGCAATGTAACTGACAGCAGGTGTTATTTGATTAATTTAATAGTAAAAGTTGTAAAGCAGGGTTAAGTAACCCAGCTGAAAATAACTAGAATAAACTAAGCAGTAAGTTAAACAGTAAAATCACTTAAGCTAATTATCAAATAATGGAGGGGAGCAGGAGGAAAGGGGACCGTCCGCCACTAATACTGGACACCAACTCCGATCAAGGGGCGGAGTGGGCGTTCCAGAGCAAAAGGGCGGGAAAAAAATGGAAGAAAATGGTCGGCGGGAACCGAAAAGATGGCCGCCGCGACGAGCGAAACCGGAAGCACAAGTGTATGCCGGTTTCGGCGGTGAAGGTACGAAGTTATACCGTCGCATGGGGAGGGAGAGTGAAAGTGCGGCTGGATGCGCGGTCAGAATTGGATCCGACCGCGACCACAGCCGGAGCTGAAAATGGCCGTTGGGGGCGTTCTGACAGGGCGCGCATGCGCGGACGGACCAAATGCTGGCAAAATTAAAGTGACAAACCCTCAGACCGGCCAAGCCCCTGAATATCAGGGCAGTTAGATGAAGGGGTCAGCCATGAGTAGTGTGGGATGTTAAAACAGAAGCAGGTAGTGCAATACACAACCAGGGTTAAAAGATTAGTCAAAGATTTAAAGGTACAATGTAGTCAGTACCAGAAAAGGTACCCATGAATGAAGGGTAATATAAGGAAAACAATTAAATATAATGAAGTACAAATAGCAAATTGAAAAGAAGTAACATCAAAGGATCCCACAGTGAGAGAACTGTGAGAGGTGTACTTATCTGAGGGTAGCAGCAAAGAAAGAGGAATTGGTCATCAATGCTCCGCCTACTATAGGAGAAGGACGACACTGATTGGATGGTCATGTTGCTAGGCGGACATTGTCACCATGATGTTATACCTAGTTCAAATGTTTATTTTTCTTCAATAATGTATTCTTTGCTGCTGAGGGTATTAAAGAAAGAGTGCAGCATAATAGGAGCCTCCGGGTCTTTAATAAAATCACTGCAGCACTTGGGATTCAGGAGACTAATAACGGATATACTCAGCCGTAGTATAGGGGATCCGTTACAATAAACAATAGTAACAAAGTATTGTAACACTGGTGTATTATGACATGATTATTGGTTACACTCTCAAAATTTTAGAAGTTATAATGCCTTCAAGCCTCTCAAGGTTTTCCCCAGGGGGCTGTCAATACACCTCCTCTGTTTGACATCTCCACAGGAATATTCAGGGAACATCGGTGTTCAGTAAAAATAAATGTATTCCAATATGTATAAAAAGCAACTAAAGGTCCTATGCATTTCTCACAGTTTTCTTGGACTTCCTCAGGGATCACCTGTAGTAAAAATCATTAAAAATAAATAAATGGACAGGAGGTAGTAATCAAACAAGGTGGAGTGAAGCAGAGCTGGAGGAGAGAATAGAGTGCTGCCCTTTAGGAGAGAGCAATGGACAGGTATGTGAAGTAGCAGTCAATCTGGGAGGCCATATGCTTTCCTAAAAAGATGGGTTTTGAGGCACTTTTTAATTGAAGATTAGGGGAGAGCTTGATGGTCGTAGGCAGGCTATTTCAAAGGAAAGGAACCACCTGCGAGAAGACCTGCAAGCGTGAGTTGGCCAGAGAGCAGTGGACAGGAGAAGGTCACAGGCAGAGCGGAGAGACCGAGAAGGGGCATACCTGCAGATCAGTGAAGAAATATAGGAGAGGCTATAATTGGTCTGTGCTTTATAGGTGTGGATTAGTACCTTGAATTGACTCCTCTAGGATACAGGAAGCCAATGTAAGGACTGACGTAGGGGAGAACTGTGAGAGGATCGACAGGAGAGGAATATCAGTCTAGCTGCAGCATTCATTACAGACTGTAGTGGGGCAATACGACTTGTGAGAAGACCTATTAGGAGAGAGTTACAATAATCCATGCGAGAGATTACTAGATTATGGACAAACTCCTTATTAGCATCTTGTGTAAGAAAGGGGCGGATGCGGGCTATGTTTTTAAGGTGAAATCTACAGAATTTGGTAACAGACTGGATGTGAGGCTCAAATGTGAGGCCAGAATCAAGTATAGCGCCAAGACAACGTGGTTGCAAGGATGGACTGATGTGGGTACCACTCACTTGAAGGGAGAGTGAAAGAGGAGGATCAGTAATTAGGAGGAGGGGAAAAAAGGAGTTCAGTTTTAGAGAGATTGAGTTTCAAGAAGCGGGAGGACATCCAATCAGAGATGGAAGAAAGGCAAGCAATGACACCTTGCAGGATGGCAGAGTTCTGGAGAGGAGAGGTATATCTGAGTGTCAACAGCGTACAGGTGGTATTGGAATCCAAATGAAGTAATACGTTTGTCATGAGAGGCAGGATAGTACAGAGCCTTGGGGGACTTCAACAAAGACAGGATAAAGGGAGGAAGTATCATTAGAAAAGGAGACACCGAATGAGCGTTTGGAGAGATAGGAGGAAAACCAAGAGAGAACAGGGTCACAGAGACCAAGTGATTAAAGAGTTTGGAGAAGGAGAACATGGTCAACAGTGTCAAAGGCAGCACAGAGATCAAGAAGAATTAGTATGGAGTAGTGCCCTTTGGATTTAGCTGTGATTAGGTCGTTAGTGACTTTAATAAGAGCAGTCTCAGTAGAGTGGAGGGAGCGGAAGCCAGACTGAAGAGGGTCAAGGAGAGAGTTGGAATTCAGGAAACAAGTCAGATAGGTAAAGACAAGTCTTTCCAGAAGCCTTGAGGAAAAAAAGGAGCAGGGATATGGGACGATAGTAAGATGGGTACTACAGTAGCATGTTTAAGGGCAGCAGGAATAACACCATAAGAGAGAGAACAGTTGAACAGTTGAAGATGTGTGTTAAGGAAGGCACAAAAGAAGAGAGATATGATAGGTGAGATGGGACAGGATCAAGCGGGCAAGTGGTGGGGCGAGAGGAAAGGAGAAGCGCAGCCACCTCTTGTTCAGTAGCCTGGGAGAAAGTCTGTAGGGTAGGAAAGGCATGATCCAGGTGTGGTTGAGAAAGCAAGGGGCAAGTTGGTGAGAATTCTTTCCTTAGCTGTTTAATCTTGTCGGTAAAGTAGCATGCAGTGCTATCGGCTGTAAGGTTAGTTTGGGGAGTGGCCACAGCAAGGCAAAGAAGGGAGTTAAAGGTATTAAAACGATGCCTGGGATTGCGGGAGCATGAGCTAATGAGGGAGGAAAAGTATGACTGTTTGGCAAGGGCTGTGCTGTATGAATGCAACATGAATTTGTAGTGGAGGTCAGACTGGGTGCTGATTTAGTGTGTTAGGGGAGTGTTCTCCTCAAGATGAATGTCTTAAGTGGGGCTGTAGCGTCCAGGGCAGATGTGAGGGTAGTGTTATATGAGGAGATAGCCAGTGAGGGACAGGTGAAAGTAGGGATGGATAGAATTTGGGAATCAATATTAGCTCCTGGAGGTCAATATAATTCAATATAAAACACAAGAGCTAAATGCAAGAGCTAACATGAACTAAAATGTTCACAACCACTTTCTGTCCCCACCCCTACTGGGCTGCTCTGCCTTTAAATACCCGGGCCAAATGTTTTTCCCTGTCCGGTCCTGGCCAGCTACATGGGTGGCGGACTTAGCTCACTGTGATAGCCGAAGGGAAGTAGTTTTGAGGCTATTGAGAAGAAGGGTAGGTTAATGGGAATGTTGAAGTTAGGGATGGAATCTTAGAGGAGAGGAAGTAGGGAAGCCAAGCAGAAACGTGGTCAAGGAAGAGGAAAGAGGGGATCCAGGGGGAGGGGACAATAGATAACTGTAATATTAGCAGAGATGGGTTTGAAAAGGCAAATTGAATGAAATCCAAATAAGGAGAAAGAGAGGGAAGGGGTGTGGGTAGAGGTTTAAAGGAGCAGTGAGGTGAGAGCAGAAACCCTACACCACCACCTTTGCTTTTAGAGTGTCTTGGGTTGTGGGAAAATTGAAGACCACCAAAGGATAGAGAGGCAGGGGTATCGGTGTCAGAGGGAGAGAGCCATGTTTCTATTAAGGCTGGGAAGTCTAGGGAACGAGAGATGAAAAGGTTGTGCACAGCAGTGGATTTAGTAACACAGCAAACAGAGCGTGCATTCCAGAGGGCAGTATGGAAGGAGGATTTAAAGGAAGAGTGACATGAGATGGGTTTGAGATTATTGTGATTCCTGGAGTTAGCAAATGGTGGGTTTGCGGAGGTGGGACCGGGATTTGGAGAGACATCACCAGCTGCTAGGAGTAGAATGATTGAAAGTACGAGAAGTTGGGAGTAGGATTTAAAAGTTTTGTGAAAGGGTTTGTATTTAGCGGTTTTAGAAAGGGTTGGTGGAGATAGGCTGGAAATGTATATGTAGAGTGCATAGAATGAATAGAGAGGGGAGGGAAGTAAAGTGGGAGCGATGAAAATAGTCGCTACAGCAAGTTGTGGCCTGCGAAAGCCTGAACTGAGGAAAGTAGGCCGATTTCCTCTCCCTCTTATGAGCTGTACAGCATTATATTCCACAGTCCCACCCCCTCTAGACTGGTGAGGGATATACCAGTCCCCACTGGAGTGCCGAACTACACATGGCCATAATATCAGACGGACCCATAACACTGAACTCCAGCTGTGTGTGTCCTAAGATGGCCGCCGAGGGCAGACATCATGTGAAGTCTGACATGCCTGAACCATTGGACACGGGTACTCTCCCATCAAGCATGGTCTATGGAGACATAGGGCTATTTGCACATACCAGCAGGGCCCTGGCATTACTGGAGGCAATATTTGAACGCTTTTGGAATCGCTTGGAAGAATGCCTGGTGCCAATACCCCACCTCTCCTACAAGGATAGTTTGAAAGTGCCCAGCTGAGAACACAAGAGGGTCACCCTAAAGCATGTTACTCATCTTAAATGCCCACCCCGACCAAGAGCCATGTGGGGCTTGCCCCCACGATGCCGACCAAGCCAGTGGAGGATCAAAGGCCGAACTAGGCGGCAAACCACCTGGGAATTTCACTGCCCCTCTAAGGGGAAGCTGTTGGCCTTACAAGGTGCCCGAGTCCGTGGTACAGAAGTAAAGGCCCCTGAACAGGCCTGGGTCAAGAGGAAGGTACCCTCCTGGTATATTTATGCTGACACACCCAGCGGACACTCCCTACCTACTATAAGCCTACCTGTGGCTGGCATAGGCTGAATCTTGATACTGCAACCCCAATCCAGGGACTCTGGAGGCATCCAGACACACATAATGTTATCACACAGCTTTTAGTGTAGAGGACTAGTCTAGTGCCCCACATGTGTGGCTTTATAACTCATTAACCACATGTTGTCCTTTACCATACTTTTCTCCTACACCCAGTGGTAGTTTACTCACTCGCACAGTCAGTATAAGTACACAATAGTAGTATATGTTCATTATACTTTTTGTATTAAAGGAACACTATAGTCACCTAAATTACTTTAGCTGAATAAAGCAGTTTTAGTGTATAGATCATTCCCCTGCAATTTCACTGCTCAATTTACTGTCATTTAGGAGTTAAATCACTTTGTTTCTGTTTATGCAGCCCTAGCCACACCTCCCCTGGCTATGATTGACAGAGCCTGCAAGAAAGAAAAACTGGTTTCACTTTCAAACAGATGTAATTTACCTTAAATAATTGTATCTCAATCTCTAAATTGAACTTTAATCACATACAGGAGGCTCTTGCAGGGTCTAGCAAGCTAGTAACATAGCAGGGGATAAGAAAATCTTAATTAAACAGAACTTGCAATAAAAGCCTAAATAGGGCTCTCTTTACAGGAAGTGTTTATGGAAGGCTGTGCAAGTCACATGCAGGGAGGTGTGACTAGGGTTCATAAACAAAGGGATTTAACGCCTAAATGGCAGAGGATTGAGCAGTGAGGCTGCAGGGGCATGTTCTATACACCAAAACTGCTTCATTAAGCTAAAGTTGTTCAGGTGACTATAGTGTCCCTTTAAGCTTGTTTCTGTTCTCACCTATTATAAAAAGTGCAGTGCAGATATTTCATATCAACCTTATACCAGTACAATGCAGTCTTACATTCATGTGAAATGTCAAAAGATGCTTGTATGCTATACTATGCACAACTAAAAGAATGTAAAAAAAAAGTTAAAGGACCACTTCATCAAAACTTAAAGGAGAACTTTGTTCTCAATCAAATGCTGCTCCTAGAGCAACTTTTGATTAGCGCAGCTTGGTGATTTGCGTACTAGCCGCCTCTTTTTTGTATGGGGAAGCATTGGATTGGCTAAGATCATCAAGTCTTATGATCTCAGCCAGTGAGGTAGTGAGACCGCAGTGAGACTAGCATGCCACAGTATATACGTTAAGTAAATTTCTTATTTTAACTCTTGCAAGGGGAAATAGTCTAAATGGTTGGGAACTAGAGCATTAGTAATATATTTTTATTCCTAATGTTCTAGAGTTGCTTTTAAGAGTAAAAATCTCTAACTATAAGATGAATACACATATGGCTCCATTAATGTATATTCATTGATTATATTCCACATGGAAATGTTTGAGAAAGCCTCGGACCAATGCAGTAATTTATTCCACAAGAATTTTGTTGGTCTCATCGTTAACCATAGAAATAGTTCCCTTGATCTCCATTTTTTTGTCTATCTATTTTTTTTCCAAGAAATTCTGTTTTCATTCCTACATAGTGAAGTGAGTGTTCTAGACAACAACAAAAGAGGGAACATTTAAAAATCTTAGTGACTTCCTTTGATGGATTTCTCAAATTTTGCAATAAGGCGTCATTTCTACCACATGTATGCATAATCTCTCAGAATTTCATAATTCCTCCATATGAAAAGGTTGGATAGGAGTAATGTACCTTCACAGAGACCCTCTCAAAGATGTCCTCTCGATCAGTCCCTTTCAGTGTGACCCAACCCTCCCACAGATAAAAATAGCCCAGTAGGAGGTTGTAAGCACAATGTTGACTCTATCTTGTTTCACACTTTACCATCATATTTTCTGCATAGTTTCTGCATTCCAGGGAGGTATAATTGAGGGTGGACTATGAGTGATGGGATGGTCTTAAGGTGTGGTAGAAGTGTGGAATACAAGCCAGTTATCTTTGTTTCTGTCATGCACCTTGTTCATTGTATATTTTGCCAAAGGGAATTTTTATGGACTTATGTCCAAAACAATGGCCACCTGTCTAGTTACATGACTTTACCTAGTTTGATCTGGAAATTCTTTGTTTCGAGATACTTGATTAAGTCACATAAGCAATTCTTGTTAACAACAACCTCTAATTTAAGACCTTAGTTAAGACACATCCCCATGTACCCTATTGGATACTATAAATTGTATGTGTAAGAGGGATTCATGAGAGATCCTTTGTATCTCTCCAGTATTGACAACATTGCTGTATGGTTCAATAAACCTTCTTATTCATCAAACATACTCAGTGTTATTTTCAGGCTCAATAATAAGTAGTAGTGTATATTCTTTTACAGCATTGACATTCTCCCTTAAGAAAACATTTTCTCATTGCACAATTGTTAGAACCAATAGGGGTACTACAGTTCACCTGCCTTACTCTGAGGCAAATATACAGATCTGGAGGATGCAGAAAAAGGTATGTTCAACAGCCAGTAAGTTAAAAGAATTGACAGTATTACAAAAATTCTATTTTTTTTAATATATTTATTTTGTGCACAAAATTAACAAACACCCTTGGTACGCCACAACAGCGGTATCAAGGTATATAGAAGTTCAGTACGCAATACAAGTTGTGACATTTGCTACTCAGGCTCATTTTTGTTTTAGTAGAAGCAAGGTTTCAACAGTTAGATTTCTCTTTTTGTTTAGTAAGCTAGTAAGGCATACATGATAACCTAATAGTTAATCCTGACTTGTATGAGAGAGTTGAGATTCATACATACATACATACATACATACATACATATATATATATATATATATATATATATACACACACACACACACACACACACACACACACACACACATATACACAGATAGCAACTGGCAGGTTTAGACTTGCTTTAGTCTATATATGTAGATTAAAAGTATGGTGTAGAACTGGCTAGGCATACCTGTCCAGTATCTATATAAAACTTTGAAGCAGAGTAGACTCTCTAGAAGGAAAAGTGCTGTCCACCGAATAATAAATTGGATTAATATGCTAGGCAAACTAATGAAAAACAAACAATAACTGGAGCACATTAAATTTAAGCAGATCATCTGGACCGCAGTGACAGGTGGAATGTGGTAGTGCAGTATCATGTTATGCAGGACTCAGACACGGCAGAGGAAGGGATTTTGTTCGGGATAATAGGCAGTGTGTCTGCAAACACGTTTGACCAGCATCTCAAGTAGTTGCACATTGTATGTAAGCAATAATAAGCTAAACAGGCTGGCCCATCCCATCTCTGCTGAAAACTTTTCTATGTTGTTATTATGCCTAGTGGCTAGACCCCTCCACCTCACTACCGCTCCTTGCACATTGAAAAATAAAAGACCTATGAACATAGCATACACACAAATAGAAGCAATAGGGGTTTAAATCAATTAAGATGGCAGTTATCTAAATCTTAAGAAGCTCAGATATTGGGCAGAAGGCCTATTGTTATGAGAGAGAGTCATCAGTAAGCTGATTCCCAGGATCGGAAAGTGCCAGGAGCGTGCGGATGGATTGTGAAGTGTCTCCGGCAGGAGTGGTTGCGTAGACTGGTATCCCGTTCAGCCGTTGCCTGCAATGGGTGTCCCACGTTTTTGCATTTCGGCCAGGCCATGCAGGTTCCTGTGCCCAAGTGCTGGTAGAAGGGGCTGGTCTGCTGGTAGGGTCCGGATCGGTAGTGGAGCAGGACGTTGTAGGCTTCTGGACCCGGGTACCGCCAGGTGGGGCGAATGAGCATGTCGAGTCTTGCTTCCCCACTGTGCATTGGGACCTTGTTGTTGTCGCATGCGGTATTTCAGCCTCTTGTGCTTGTTGGTTCGTTGCCATGATGAGGCCTGTCATGCAGGTAAGGCCTTCGGAGCGTTCCTCCGGTTTGGAGGCAGCCTCTTAGAAGGCTGCTTGGCTGTTGTGAGGCAAGTGGTTGTGTTCTGCCCTCTATCTTGCACCAGAAATTGGCAAGCAGTGCGTCCAGGTTTTGTGAGAGTCCATGGTGTGAGTCAGTGGGACCGGGGAGGCACATGGCGTACGCCATGATGGGTGTCGCGCTGGGTTGTAGGTATATGGAAGTGGCTTTGCCTTGTGCTCCCACTGATCCAGATTTGCCTCTCTGAACACCCCTGACGTTGCAGAGTGGGGAGTAATGGGGTTTTTCCTCGTTTTGCGTCGTCACCATGCGGTGCCGTACCGAGAGATGGGCCGCCTCACGCTAGGCCTCATGCTGTGAGGAGTGAAGCCAACAGGCTCCAGATGTGTCACAGACTGCAGCATGCGTGTCCAACCCAATCGTTGGTCAGGTAGGTCAAGTTTTGTCGCCAGTTGCAGGCTTTGTGTGGCTAGATGTGTCATTAATCACCCTAGTTTCTGAGGAGCTTTGCTAAAGCACATCTGTCCTCCATGCTAGTCAGGCTCTGCCCCCCAAATTCTATATTTTTATTACTAATATTTTTCTTCAGTTCTTAGTAGTGCTCTGAGTTTCTTGGTACTTCTTTAAACCACTTGCTATGTCATGACTGATGTCATTGAATGTTGGCTGATAAAGCAAAATAAAGCTATAATTTTCTCCAATTTATAAGTATCAGTTAAAAGCGTGGGGAAAAACAACAGAACTCAGATAATGAATATCTGACCTTAAAAAAACATTGACTGTTTAAATTGAAAAAAATACCCATGTGTCCTGACATACATTGGCAAGGCAGCTTAGAAATAGGGACAAAGGCTAATTACACATACAATTGAGAACAGTTACTGCTACACATATCAAGCAATGTGACTGAACTCAGGTAATTAGAAAGGTGTCGAATGCATTATTAAATTATGTCTGGCAAGGAATGATGCTGCAATGCATGTATTATTTGAAACATGTTCACAATTTATGAGAGCTAGACATTCACTTTCATATGCACATTGATTGCTATGTGTGAACATTGTTTACCCAGCTGTTACTAATGGAAAGACAATGAACACATTGTGCATTATTGTTATCTATGCAATTATTTGGGATTCTGTTTACCAGTCTGTATCTAGAGCTGGGCAACCGGATGTTAAGTAGTCTTAATTATACATTAATCAGTCACAACATTAAAAGCACCTGCCTAATGTTGTGTAGGTTCCAGTGCACAAGAGGGAGCAGAGCAGGAACATGACTGCAGCCCCAGTGAAAAGCCTATTCATTCCAGCTCTGCCAAAAATAGGGAGGCTGGATGGATTTCAATAAAAACAATAAAACAAATGTATAATCTCTGAGTGTCTGTCAAGGTGTGTGTGTCTGTTAAGGTGACTACTCAGTGAATCAGTTACTTAAAACAGCAGCCAGCAGGGTAAAAAGGTAAAAGGAAGAGCGACAGAGAGCAAGTAAAAAAAAAAAAGAACTTCCTTCCTGTGAGTACCAACAAGTTCAATTCATATATAAGCAGTACTCTGAACTGCACAGCGCCATCTACAGCTCAAGTTCTAATTATATACATGTTATCCAGTACATGCCCCCCAACAATTCCCCCCCACCAGCCCTATCACACATATTATCCCCCCTGCCAGCCCCTCCATGTTTCTCTCCCACCCCCCATGTTTGTGACTGACAGGCACACACTATTACTGACAGGCTATGACAGACATGGAGCTTTGTTAGTTAAAACATTCTGGCTCCTAACTTTTTTAGCTGGCTCAGATTCCAAGCAAATTTGTAAAGCTCTGCCCTAACCCTCAAATTGCTGACCCTATACCTACTACAGCCCCTATCCCCCCAATTGATGCCCATATACACTACTACAGCCCCTAAAAGCCCTTTTAACCCAATAGTTGCTCTTATTTCCCTACTGCAGCCACTATCCATATTACGGCCCCCAACCCCACTACTACAGTCTCCAAATGCAGCCTCTATCCCCCTACTCCAGCCTTTAACTCTCCCACTACAGACTATTTCCCCACACTACAGCGCCTATACAGGGGCAGACTGAGCGGTCGGGCACTTCGGACATGGTCCGAGGGCCCGTCGCTGAACTACCACACTTAATTTCACCCAATGTTGTCTTGGACAACATTGGACTTTGGGGACATGGTGGCCGGCACTACTTACCCAGCCTGGAAGGAGGGGCCCGGGGAAAGAATGAGTGATGTGCGCGTAGGCGCATCTCGTCGCGTTGACGTTACGTACTAACGTCAACGTGTGCCGCCTGCATGGGCCGTATTTCATTGTAAGGCAAACAGAGTGCGGAAGGATTCTACCGCACACTGCCTTAAAAAGACAAAGAAGCCTGGGCTGGGCCGCACATTTTTTGGCCATCTTTAGCTACAGCCAGCCAGCAAGCCCAGCCTGGCAGCCAGCATGTCCAGCCTGCCAGTCAGCCAGCAAGCCCAGCCTGCCAGCCAGCCAGCAAGCCCAGCCTTCCAGTCAGCCAACAAGCCCAGCCAGCCACAGCCAGCCAGCAAGCCACAGCCTGCTAACCAGCAAGCCACAGTCTGCCAGCCACAACCTGCCAGCCAGCCACAGCCAGCAAGCCAGCCAGCAAGACAAAGCCTGCCAGCCAGCCAGCCTGCAAGCCACAGCCTGCCAGCCAGCTAGCAAGCCCGCAGCAAGCCAGCAACCATAATTGTGAATGGGAACCAGAGTGTTAGAGAGACCCCCTGCCAGACCCCATTCTTTAAACCGACGATCTCTCATGGACACTCAGAGAAGGGACTCTTTCTAACACTCTTTAAAGGACACTGAGATGACCTCTGTTAGAAAGACCCCCCTCCAAGCTCATATGACTCCATTGTAGTCTCTAATGGGGCCTGAAGGGTACTCTTTCTAACACACTCTCTAATGGACACTGAGATGGCCTCTGTTAGAAAGACCTCCCTCCAGGACCCATTAATCTCCATGTTAGTTTCTAATGGGGTCTGGAGGGGACTCTTTAAACTGAAGATCTCTCATGGACACAAAGAGAGGGACTCTATTAGATATACCTGTAACGAACGCTGGTATAGTAGATACCCGTTCGCCTATTTCCTCTCAAACTGTTTCCTTTCTTCATACTAATGGCAGTCTCCCAAGTGTATTCTCCCAGTAAAGTAGACAGGCACCCAAACATCAGCCAAAACTAGATAAAGGGTGTAACAGGAATGATTTTAATGGGTGCCACACTGGCTTTTATGCAAGTCCCCAGGCAAGGATTACTCCCACATGGACCTTGTTGGAGACTCCAGTACAAAGTTATACACTGTGACGAAAGCAATTTCGCCACTGGTTTTTGGAGAGGACTACTTGCCAGCCTTTTACTCTGTGACTATGGCCCCTTTAATTTATTTTGGCTGAGAGACCCTAATTGTACCTATTGGGACTTTAAACATTTGGTTCTTCGAACTCCCGAACAGTTGAAGTGGCCATTTTGTTCGCATGGGCTAAAACCACGAATAGACTTCAGGGGGACTTAGCCGCGAATGCCCTGGAACTATTTTTGGCATGAAAACCTTGCGGTTCCCGGTCGGTCCTCGAGCATCACTTAGCCGCGATTCTATGGAACTGTTTTGGGCATGAAATCCTGTGTTCTGGGCATCACCTTTGCTGTAAAACTTGTATAAAAGGCCAGTGTGTGCCATTAAACTTTTTGTTCCTGTATGACCCTCAACACATAGTCTTGTCTCGTGATTGGTCTGTGTTCAGTAGTTTCAACTGCCGAATGGAAAAAAGTTAAATAACCAAAATAACAGGGTAATTTCTTCACAATACCCTTTTCCAGGTCCCTGTAGAGTAGTCTACTTCACTTCCGGCAGTATGTCTATTGATGGGAGATCGTGGAAAAGAATCTCTTTAGGGGAGCTTCACTGTGCTTTAGTGCATTTATACACTTTTTAATATATTTCTCAATTACATTAGAGTAATAGTAATAAACTTTTGTTAAAAAAATGCACTTATAACACAGGGCTGAATCCAGAACCTAATCTCGGGAGGGTCATGGGCACATTATTTAAAGAAACAATCTAGGCACAATAATGACTACAGCTCTCTGTAGTAGTTATGGTGCCAGGAGTGCCGTGGTGCCCTCCCAGAGTAAGTAGTCAAACCCTTTAAAAACCAGTTTAGATGTGCAGTTTGTTTGTGTATGGGGTGACAGTGTATTTGTGTGTGAGGGGTGCAGAGTGCAGAGTGTATTGCAGAGTGTATTGCAAAATTCCTGATAGGTTTTACCAACATATTTGATGTTGCAGCTGCATGTTATCAAATATACTATTTTAGTAGTGCTGGGTCCCAAAGTTGGTCATATGTACCTATGCATCTTATTGTTGATTTTTGAGGTTGAACTTTGTGATTTCTAAGGATACTTGTCCTTTCCATCTTGGAGACTCATTGAAATGCAGTCTTGAGTCTTATTTCGCCACCAACTGTTAATTTAATCTTGAGATCCAGGAATTCAAGTTGGTCTTCGCTGATGACATATGTGAGTTCTAGGACAATATTATTGTTGTTACGTTTGGATACCATTTCTTCAAATTGAGAAATGGAACCTGTCCAAAAAAGAAGGATGTCACCTATATACCGATGCCAGTTAAAATATATTCATCAAATCCCATTGATGTCCTTTCCAAGAGGTCTGTGGCTTCCCACCAGCCCAGGTATAAGTTAGCATAACTAGGGGCATATGCCAAACCCATCGCTGTGCCCCTAGTTTGCAGATAGTAGTTTCCATTAAAGACAAAGTAGTTATGGTTAAGTATAAATTTCAAAAGTTCTATGAGGAAAATTTTTTGAGGACTGTTTAATTTCTGACATTTGTCCAAAAAGAATTGGGTTGCCCTTAAGCCAATGTCATGCGGGATTTTATTGTATAGGGATACAATATCAAGACTTG